GGGTCTTGAAGACCAAGGTTTTCTGAATTTGATTCTTTTTGTTAATGTTTTGGGGAGAGGGAGGGTAAACTCAGTTTCTGTGACACCACTGCGGTCATCAAGGGAAACCTTTCTTTTTAATACTTTCACATTTGTACTTACATACATTTTCGTAGTTCTGATATTCTTTTTTCTAATACCTGTATTTTATTTATTTGTCTTTATGTGGTGCTGAGGATCGAACCCAGGGCCTCGCACATGCTAGGCGAGTGCTCTACCACTGAGCCACCATCCCAGCCCTAGTTCTGCTATTCTAAGAGTATGTTCTCATCTTCTTGACTATTCAGTTGGTCTTTGAAAAATATCAGGTTTTCATTTTCCTGCAGTTAAATTTCAATTCTCTGTCTTATTAATTTCTTCTCCCGTCACCACTATTAGCCCTGGGTTTTCTTTTACGGTGGTTTGGATTTTTTCTTCCTGCTACCCTGGAGGGGAAAGCTCTGCTCCCTGTGCTCAGCTTCCCTTGCTGCCCCAGGACTCCCGCAGGCTCTCGGGCTTTGGGGGGGTGTTCACGAGAGTTGTTCTCACGGCTGGCACCTGCAGGCCCTGGTGTCTCTGGCCTCTCCTCCAGCCTCAGAGTTGTTTGGAAGACTGCTCTTTCCTCTGGGCACGGGCCAGTTTGCAGCTGTGCTCTGGGTATTTTCATTCTGGTTTTATTGCACTGTGGGTGGAAATGTTGCCCAGAGACATTGTCCTGCTTGAAGGAATGGCTTTTTTCATGGTCTGATGCCTAGAGGGCTTTCTGTTTCATGGGAGAAGGAGAAGACTCCACAGATGGGCCACCTGTCTTCTACCAGGGAGTGGGGGCCGGCTGGCTGCTTCCTCGGTGTCCTCGGCCAGCCCCCAGGAGCATGCCCAGGTAGCTCCCTCTCAGCCCCAGGCCATTAGGGGCCCAAGGTAGGGCAAGTTAGGGACAACAGTGATGGCTGGCTGATTTCTGCCTTCTATTCACACTCCCTGCCTGGGGCAACTGGCCTCCCCCTCTGGCCTCAATTTCTTTGGGTTTCGAGACAACCGCCCTTGAACACACAGTCATTCTCACTGTTCCTAAGGAGGTGGGCGCATCGAGAGGCCATTGGAGGACTTCAGGCTAGCAAGCTGAGGCCGAATCCTAAGGGCCAGGCTTGACTGCACTGGGCTTGGCCAGGCCTACCCTAGTTGGGGGTGGAGTCCAGACAGGAGGATCTGAACTGAAGACCCAGGAGACCAGAGCAGAGGTAGGAGCAGCACCCCAGGCAAGATGGTGACCTGGCTGGAGAAGGGGTGGACCCCCGGACTGCATGAGGAGGCCAGAGAGCACCGCAGTGGGTGGGTCCTTCTCTAAGGAGGGGAACTGGGAGGGGGAGTGGGCTTAAAGAAAAGAAGATCAAGTTCAGCCTGCCTAGAGTTAAGGTGGAGGAGCCTCAGAGGGCTGCGGCTCAGTCGGGGTATCACCTGGACACGCCCAGCCTCCATATGGTGGTTAGCACACCATGGCCTGATCATCAGGTCCACCACTGCTTCTGTAGTGCCTGCAACTAGGAACTGTTTTTAAATTTTTCGGTAGTTTAAAAATTGAAAATCATGAGGACAAATACGGTGTGATTTCCCCTTCTATGAGCCTTCCAGTCACCAGAACCAGACAAGAGGGCCAGGGGCTGGAGGGCGGGAGAGTTCTGGAGGTGGCTGGTGGCTGTAAGTGGTGTGTCACCCTCCTGTGCACATTAACAGTGGTAGGCGGTAACTTTTATGCCCTGTATAAATACGAAAAATCAAGAGAACGTTTTGTGACCTGTAACAGGATCTGTAACCCTAACCCTAACCCTAACCCTAACCTCAGGTTCATAATGTGGTTTCCTTGGGGCACAGACCCCAGGTCATATCTGCGTTTTATTCGGTAGCATCTGCTGCACAACGGTAAAGCATGTGTGTGTGACAGATCTGGCAGCCCAGGAGGCCTGAACTGTTTGCTGTCCTGTCCCTTGCAGAAAGGGCTGGCCTGCCCCTGCTCCTCAGGAGAGAGGTCAGGGAGGGCGACTGGAGAGGGGCGGAGCCCGGGAGGGAGCGGGAGAGCGAGGACAGCCTAGGACGGGGCTCACAGGCACATGCGCAGTTCTGACCTCCTGTCTGAGCTGTACTTCACACGCCCACAGTCCACCCGCTCAGCGGGCACGATTCAACCTGACAGGCGACTCCACGGTCCACCTGGGAGCAGTTCTTCATCCCAGAAGCCCCACCCCTGGCAGCCAGTCCATCCCCTCACTGTCCTGCGGCCCCCGCAGCCCCCCACCCGCTGTCTCCATGGCCCTGCCCATTCTGGACACTTCCTATCAATGGAGTCATACGGTCCGTGGCCTCCCGTCTGGCCCTTCAGCCGGCGGCGGCACATTTCAGGCTGCCCCGGGGCGCAGGTGTATGGGGCCTCGATTCCTTCTATGGTTGAATGACAGTTCCTTGTATGGGTGGCACATTGTAGCCACCCGCTTGTCTGCTGATGGGCACTGGCCTGTTTTGCAAGCTTTGTGTGGGTCACAGGGGGGTGAAGGGCCGTGTCCCAGAGACGCCCCAGATGCCATGGAGACCCATATGCCCAGGAGAGAGCACCCTTCCTGATCAAGGGAGCCACCTTGGTGTCAAATGCTGGCAGAAGTCAGAGGATAGACTTCTGTTGGGTGAGTGAGGCCAAGAAATAGAGGGGAGAGGCCCACAGGGAGAGAGCAGGCTCCAGGGACTGGGGAGGGGGGTTGGGTTTCCAGGGCCTCGGAGGACCAGGATCTGGGGAGGATGGAAGGGGTGGACTGCTGGCCTGACCGTGGCTCGACTGGCAGATATAGACAGGGCACCTGGATGCCTCTGGAAGGGTCGAGCTTCAGGGAGTCTTTGAGTTTAAGGTTTTAAGGGACCTTGACCCTAAGATCCCAGAACCTAGCTATAGGACCTAGCTGGATGAAGACCAGCTAGAGGGCCTGACCCAGCTGCTGTCCCCCCAGGGTCCTCCAAGGGAATGAAGTTACAGCACAACTAGCAGAGGGACCCGACACCAATCCCCAGGCTCCTGGCAGTTTGCATTGATGGAGAAATCCAGGCCCTCAGGCTGAGCTGGAGACCTGGCAAAGACTGCCCAGGCCCAGAGTGCAGGGCTCTGGGACTGTTCCTGGCACTGGGTCTTGCAGGGGAGGGAGGACGTCAGGGGACAGGGGCCTCTGACCAGGGAGAGGGTGCAGAGGAGAGCCTGATCAGGGAACCTGAATTCAAAGTCTACCCTGGACTGCTCCACTGGGCAGAGGTATGACTGTGAACCCCTGACCATACATACCCCTGCCCTCAGCCCCACAGGGCCCAGGCAGGTGCTACTCTGCAGCCAGCCTTCCAAAGACGGACTGGTGAGCAGGCCAGCTCAACAGGGTCCAGCAGGGTGAGCGAGCCAGTGGGCACCCCCAAGGCTGGCAGTAAATACCCTTTACCTGTCTGGTGGGCTCCCTAGAGGAGGTCCCTGACCGCCAAGCCCCAAAGCCAGAACTGGAAGGCTGCTCAGGCCACCTGACCAACCACTCCATTCCCAGAGGTCCTGGCCCTTGAGCACCTGGCTCCTTGGGGGGAAGCCGGCCTGGATATGGCCCCAAGGACAGTTTCTGGACAGTGAGGCAGGACCAAAACTTTTCTACTAACAGTGCATTTTATGCATTTTGGCAGTCTCTATCCCCCCTGAACCCTGCAATTCTTCCCATGTGTCACGCCCCGCCCCCAGGGACCCCAATCACAGTATCCTCAAGGGAGGAAGGGAAGAACCAGGCCAGGGTGCCCTGAGGAAAAACAGCCCGGGAAATGGAAAGAGGAGCAGGGGTTATAAGACAGAGCAGGAGCCCATGGGAGGAGCGACCAGGAACAAGGTAGGTCGTGGTGGGTAGGTCGTGGTGGAGGTTGGGAGACACTGGAAAAGAAGAGTCTGGGCGGAGGGGTGTGAGCTGGCCTGAGCGCTCCACAGTACAGGAGTGGTTGGGTGCAAACCTCCAGCCTCTCCGGTTCAAGGCGTCGCCCAGGGGCGCACCGAAACCGCAGGGAGAGGGTGTGCATGAGGAGGGACAAGGTGCAGGGGCCCCAGGGAACCTAAACCTTCCACCTATCCCAGCCTCGACCACCTCAGACCGCCCAGCCCAAAGGGACACAGGTGTGAGTGGGAGGAGAGTGGATACCAGGGTCGCGGGGGGAGGGGGCGAACCTGGGCGAGGCCCAGCGGGTGAGCCGCTTTGTTCCCGACGGTGCCCGGGAGCCACGCGCCAGGCGTACGCTTCCTCCTTGGGGCTGGGAGTGGGGCTGGCCCGCCGCAATTGGCCAAAAGGGCGGCCCACGATTGGCTGAGACCCTGGCCCCCGCCTCCTCGCCCCCGTGGGCGTGGCGCGGACTCGGGCGGCTCGGCGCGTGCTGCCCCCGGGGGGTCTCCGGTGCTTACCCCGACAGCTGGATTATCTTCCCGGCCACGCCTTGTCCCACACCAGCACGCGCCGCGCGAGCCGAGGACTGGCACCTCTGCATGCTAGCGGGCTGCATGGGGGTGGGGGTAAAGGCAGGTCACGCCAGGGACCTGCTGACAGCACCTGGACGTGGGGAACCTGCAGAAGGCAGCGTGGTTCCCATACCGGGCCCTGCTTACAGCTCTTAGGGAGACTCACTAGGTACCTGCTGGAAGCAGGGAGCATCTTACTTGCGGACCGCCTTCGGGAGGTGGGAGGTGTGCTCACGGTTTGGGCTTTACAGAGCGTGTGTGTGTGTGTGTGTGTGTGTGTGTGTGTGAGGGGGAGGGCTAAGCGAGGCGGGAGGGAGAGGCGAAGGGAGGAGGGCGTGAGAAAGGAGGCGGCGGCGGCGCGGAGGAGGGTTATCTATACATTTAAAAACGAGCCGCCTGCGCCGCGCAAGGGGAGACCCAGGGAACGTCCTCTTGCACGCGCGGGACACGAGCGTCCCACGCTTCCCGGTGCGCACTGCCCACCGCCTCTCGATTCCTGCGCCACACCGTCCTCAGGCTCCAGAGGACTTTGGAAGAGTGCCCCAGAGGAATCGCTTGGCAGCGGCGTGCCAGAAGCCCCCGGGAGGCACGGCCGTCCGCTTCCCACACTTTGCTGCGCACTTTCTTGTGGTGCACCGGGACTTAGAACTGTCACCAGGCGGGTGGATGCGGGCGCGATGGACAGCGGCGCACTGTCCCGACTTGTGCCCACCTCGCCTGCGGTCCCTGGTGCCTGCGGTGTCCGACGGAGACCCAAGTCCCCCGAACTGCTGCGCTGCAGCCGGCGGCGGCGGCGGCCAGGATCGGCAGAGGCCGGGGGCGGCGCGGCAGCAGTGGCGCGGCGCAATGAGCGTGAGCGCAACCGCGTGAAGCTTGTGAACTTGGGCTTCCAGGCGCTGCGGCAGCACGTGCCGCACGGGGGCGCCAGCAAGAAGCTAAGTAAAGTAGAGACGCTGCGCTCAGCTGTGGAGTACATCCGCGCGCTGCAGAGCCTGCTGGCTGAGCATGATGCGGTGCGCGCCGCGCTGGCCGGGGGTCTGCTGGCCCCGGCTGCGCGGCCTCCTCCGCCCCGCGGGCCGCCTGAGACTCCCCCCATCGCTGCCTCGCCCTCCTGCGCCTCTTCGTCCCCTGGCCGCGAAGGCAGCTCGGAACCTGAGTCCCCTCGTTCGACCTACTCATCCGATGACAGCGGCTGCGAGGGCGAATTGAGCCCCGCGGAGCGCGAGCTCCTAGACTTCTCCAGCTGGTTAGGGGGCTATTGAGTGCCTTGGCGCCCTACCCCCGGTTTAAGGTAACTCCCAGGCTACGGGGAGGAGGGAGGGCTGGAGGCAGGGGCAGCGGAGTTGGGTGGGCGGGCCTGGCGGGTAGCGCCCGGGTGATCCAGCGGAGCCGAGCGCTGGGTCCAGGCTGTTGCTTCGATTTCGCTCACTCTTCATTTTCCCCAAACGTTTTCAAGCCTGAGCAAGACCAGCGTCTGTTTGTACGGGATTGCAAAACTTCCTCTCCCGGCTCCGCCGCCTTTGGGGGAGGGGATTTTAGGGGAGGGGAGCGGCTGTCGGGCCGGTGAGGTCTCACTGCTCGCGGTTCCCCAGAAGAGCGGGGAGCTGGAGGCGTGGTGATTTTGCATTGCAAATTGCCTCCCCGGCTGGGGTGCTGGAAGGAGTCGGCTGGAGTGGAGCCCTGAGTCACCACGACTCGGAGCGTGCGCCCCGCCCCCGCCTGGCCGGTGCCTCCCACCGAATCTAGGCACCCACGGACTCAAAATCAACGGAGCGAATGAAACTGCCGCGGGCGTGTTGGGAGGTGGGGTTGTGGGCTGAGTTCTGCTCCACGTGCCGGGGCCACAGTGACGCGAATTCTGTTCCCCTGCAGCCGCAGTCCAGGAGGCCCGACGGCAAGCATGCCTAGCAGCGAGCTCACCGTCATTTGGGAGCCGCATGGTGGGCCAGGGACGCCGCCGACGCTGCCTTGTTGGGTCCAGACTCACCCAGTGCCAGCGAGGAAACTACCCCTCTACGGACTGGCATCGGCCTCTGAGCTCCCCCAATAGGGCGTCAACGCTTGGAGAACTTTCCCGCGGAGTTTTATAAGGACAGAGCCTATTTTTTACGCTTTAACTTGAATTGCCGCCGGGACTGCTGAAACCTTGAAGACTGATTTTTGTACAAAGGATCGTTATGGATGGAGCACAATAAAAATCGCCTGTCCTCCCCCCACCCCCCCTACCTGGAATTTCCAACCTGGCCAAGGTGTGGTCCTAGCAGCCCCTGAAGGCAGGGTGCCTGGTGGGACTCCCCTCCTCTGAAGCCCAGCCTAGGGAGGGTGCTTGGTTGCTTGGGCCCACTGACTAGCTGACCTGGGTGAGAACACCTGTTTTAACCGAGGTGAATAAACGGGTTCTATTTATCATTGCTTTTGGCAGTACCCTCTACCATGGGTCCTGTCTCCATTCCCCAGGTGAGGGCCAGGCAGGGGTGGAGGGTAGTGGCCCAGAATGTCCTGTGGTCACTTCTCTCTGGACTCTTGGTAGAGTGGGCAGCTTTGTATGCATCCAGGCTACCATGACAGATGCCAGAGTGATTCTGACACTTTGTGGGACTAGGGGCTTCCAGCAGGTGGCCTTTAACTGTGGATGGTCCAGGCAGGGGTGCTTTCCAGCTGCGAAAGGGAAGTTCAGCAGTCCCTGACAGGCCACAGGGGTCCAGGTCAGTGCCTGGTATTGGCCTGGGCCCAGAGTGGTCTGAACTATGAGCACAGCTTGTCTTCCACCTCTAGAGGCTGCAGGTGTGGGCTGTAGGCCCAGGTATCAACTGCCCATTACCAGCTGGGTGGCCCTGGCCAAGTTATTAACCTGCAGATGACACTGACCTCAGGCCCAGGTTATGGGAGGATCTGAGGGGTCCTGTTGGTGAGCTGCAGCCTGCATGTGTGGGGCCTGAGTGCTGGCTGGGCAGCCCTAGAGAGTTCTACATGTCTTTTTTACCCAAACTGGGGGCCTCCCTGGAACAAGGAAGGCCAGGAAGCTGCTCCAGGCCCCCCACCCGGTCCAGAGCTGTGGCAGGATATCTTGCAGCCCCACCTTTGACTCGGAGCCCCGGAGGCTTTGAAGTCGCCCTTTGCCCAAAGCTCCCATTTATTGCAGGGGTGTGGAAGGGCCTGGGGGATCCCCCAGGCTGCTGTAGGGTGCTGCTGGCACCCCTTTCTGGCGGGAATGGTTGGGGCACAGCCATTGGAGCTCTGGGAGTTAGGAGTGGCTGGTGGTGTCACAGAGCAGGTGTCTTCCTTATAACTATGGTGGCAGTATGCACAGGCTCCTGGGGGAATGCCTGTCTAGAAAGAAAGCAGGGTTGCAGGCCCCCCCTTTACTGCAGGAGCAGCTCGCCAGCTCCTCTGCAGTCAGCTGACTCTTGAGTCAGTGTTAAGTCTGTAGATGGGGTCGAGGGTTGGTTGGTCCAATCAGAATCAGGCTCAGCTGGGGTCAGTAGTCCAATTGTGACTTAGGGCTACAGGGCTGAGTGAAACAACATTGTCCCAGAGACAGCATGGAGCACATCATGGCCACCCCGGGAGAGCCACTGCATATCTGCCTTCTCCCAGGCAAGTGGCCTCCCCAACCACGAGACCTGAGCTTTCTCCATGACTCACCAGGATCCTGGGGAGGCCTGAGGCCACCAGGAGCAGAGGTGGTATGGGGCTGGGGGTGCATCCACCCACATGAGCACGGGACTGGGGCTGGCCTGCAGCTACGGAACTCCATGGTATCTCGGAACACTACCATTTCCCACGTGCAAGAGCCCTGAAATCTTTATCTCTCACCTTCTCCACACCAGGCACTAAGGAGGTGGAGTTGTGCCCTACAGAAACTCTGCCTTCGGCTGGGATGTGATTCTATCTGGGATGAGTCAACGGAATGGTCTGGCTGGAGGGGAGGAGCACTGACCCGGAGAGTGCAGCATCATGACTATCCACGTGTGACCCCACCTGCCCCACCCCAGGTCCTGCCCCATGTAGTTTTGAAGCAAATCCCCAATTTGGAACATCCTCCCTGTGTGCCTCCAAAGGAAAACCCTCACCATCACCGCCCCCCGGCCCCCCAGCCCCAAAGAACAGTGGTTCTTTCATCTCAGATGCCCAGCCCACGGCACAGCCCCCTCCAATCGATTTGGGCCTCAGGATCCACCCCAGGTCCACACATCAAGTTCACTGAGTGGGTCTCTTAAGCATCCTGTTTGTTGACAAAGCTTGGTTGTCCTTCATGATCCCGTCATCTGGATGTTTATCCAGTGCCCGCCCTTCGCTTTCTGCAGATGGGGTGGGGGTGGGGCACAGAAGCAGAGCTGTGATCAGCCGGGGGTTTGGTGGCATCATGTCCTGTGACTGCATCCTGCCAGGAGACAAGGGTGACCCTATAACTTGCTATCCAAACTGGGACACTTTTGAGAGTGTGAAGGCTGCTGTTAATAGACAGCCAGGTCCCTGGTCACCTTCTTCTCCAGTTAAAAAATCCCCTCAAGCTGTCATTCCAGACCATCAAACACTGCAAATTAAGTGCCCGCCCAAAGTCACAGAGCTTTGAAAATGGTGGGAACTGGGATTAAAACCCAGGGTTGCTTCATTCTGTCCTGATTGGTCGCCTTCCAGGAAGGGTGGTCCAGGGCTGTGCTGGGGAGGACACCTGTAGCAGTTGGGCCTTTTGGATGGGCGTGCCTGGCCAGGGCCCACCTGTGCGGGGCTGTGCTGTGCTGGGGGGCATCAGGGCTCTGCCAAGGCTCACAGGCCAGGCCTTGCCTCTGCTTTGAGCTCTGACTCTGGGCAGCGTGTGCTTGGATGAGCCAGGAGGGAGCGGCCAGGGCCACAGCTCTGGGAGCCCCAGCCCGTGGACAGGGATGGAGTGGTGCCTTCAGCCTTTGGGTTCTCCTCTAAAGTGACCTTCCACAGAGTGAGACGGGCTGAGTCCGGTTGGGAATTGCCACCTGGGAGGGCTAGGGCAGGAGAAGGGCTGGGAGGACAGTGTGAGAGCTCCAGGGTACTTTGGGGGCCCTCTGTTGACTCTGGATCCCTAAGTGTTCGCCCCCTCAGGGGGCTCTGCTGTGCAATCCTCAGGATGTTTCTCTAAGCTCCACTCAGAAAGCGGCTTCCTCAGACGCGGGTGTGCCTCTAGGTCCTCCACACGGGCTCCCTGGCTCACGACAGGCTGCAAAGGAGGCCAGGGGAGAGCACCACGAGTGTGAGCCTCCGGGCCACTCACCCAGCCCTGTGCCCACCCGCTGGGCCCCTCCTCTGCATTAGGAACTTTGGATGTGTTGTGGGCCACACGGGCACCCTGCCTGCGGGGGCCTGCAGTCCAAGGGATGCTGATAATCAGTGAGTCAGTTGTGAGGCCAGGCCCCGGAAACCCTGGACCCTGGGGCAGCAGCAGGGGTCCTGGGGACACTGTCCAGCTTCCTCAGTTGCTCTGAGTCTTCTGCACAAGGATGACCTCACAGGGCTGCTGCCCGTCCTGTGAGGCGGGCAAGTGACCCGCTGGGTCCTCTCAGGCTGGGCAGACCGAGCCCTTGGTGGAGGCCTGGCGCTCCTTGTTCCCGGGCAGCCCCCTCCCTGGCAGGCACCCCTGGAAGACCTCCCCACGCCCAGGATGTCCTGTGGAGGCATGGACTGTGCCTCTGGCTTTGGTTTCTGTAGGGGGGTCCTGGGACCCCGTGAGCCGGCTTTTGGAACACCGAGTGCTCCAGGAAACCCACCTCGGCACGGCCTCCTCTGTCCAGGACTGGCTGCGTAGTTCCGGGGGCCTAGGGCAAAATGAAAATGTGGCACCCAGTTACCGTTCGGATCTTACATGTTCCCAAAAAATCTTGTAGAAGACTCGGTCTCCAGCCTGCGGTGATGTTGGGAGGGGATGGGACCTTTAGAAGGGAGGGCCTGGGCAGGAAGCTAGGTCAAGCCCTGCAAGCGGTAGTAGGACCCCTGCCCCTGTCCCCTCCCTCCCCCCCCCCCCCCCCCCCGCCCCCTCCCTCCCCCCCCGCCCCCCTCTCTCTGCTTTCTGGCTGCTGTGAAGTGAACAGCTTTCCTCCCAGGGGCACTTTGGCCATGGAGTGCCACCTCACCACAGGCCTGAAAGGCTGCAGAGCCAAGAGGCCATGGATGGAAAACTCTGAAACCATGAGCCTCCCTTAAAGTTGATTATATCGGGCATTTTATCACAGCACCGTGCACCCTTATTCAAATAGTGGGGTGCTCGTGACTGTAAAGTTGCTAAAATATAAAGCTTTTTCCTTTCTGCCTCTTAACTGAGGGTTTTAGACTCCCCAGTGCTATGCTAAGTAGGGAAACATTAACAATTTAGTTGTAGTTGGCCCTCTGTGTCTGAGGATCCAACCACCATGTAAAAGTATTTTTTAAGAATCTTTAATCTGCACCAAACACATTCAGACTTTTTCTTGTGGTTATTCCTTAAATAATACAGTGTAACAGCCATTTACTCAGCATTTAGACACCCTAGGCGTTGTAAGGATCTGGGGAGGATTTGAAGCCCGCGGGAGGGTGTGTGCAGGTTCTTCGAAGATGCCACGCCATTCGACACAGGACTTGGGCCTCCTGGGCGCGGGGGTTTCCTGGACCCAGTCTTCCAGGGATACCCAGAAACGGCACGAGTGTGGCTGTCCAGTTTTATGTCATGTAATGCCAGTCTCCCACGCAGACCTAAGAGCATTTAGCACGCAGTTTCGCTGACAGCACTGACTGGCATTCTGCAGCTCACACACTCAGGCTTCTGTTCTCAGCCCCTGCAGGGTCCAGGCCCAGCCGGCCAGACCTTTCCACCTCAGCTTTCTGCTGAGTAAAGAAGGATGGAGGAGGGGGACGGGGTCACCATCACTCCCCTGCTGTCAGCATTTCCAGCATAAGTGGTTGATCAGTGCAGGGATTGAATGGAAATGGTGGCCCCTTGGTGGCAGCTGGCTCGTTGTAGATGCACCCTGCCGCCTTGGACTTGCCCCCGGGAACAGCAAGGGGAACTGTCCCAGCTTGGCTTGCGCTTCCCTCTGCTCGCGAGCTCGCTCCAGTGTCCCATGACTTTCACCTACACAACTCAGTTCAAGATGGCAGCCACAGAGCATCCTCATGTGGGCCCTGAGTGGCCCCAGAGGTTCCACACTCAGGAAAACAACCTTGTGCCGCCCTTCAGAGCTGGGACTGGGGCACCCTGTGGAGAGGCCCCTGCACATCACCGGGTCCCTGTCCTGCCCAGAGACAGGCAAAATAATGTGGACCTCCGGATTAAAGCCAGCCCCACTTGACCCCAAAGGGTTGGGCAGGGGGAGTGCTGTGAAAGGGGCCCTGGAGTCCATGCACTTTCCCTCCCCCAAGTGACCTCCAAAGACCTCCAGAGACCT